CCCTCCAGACCCTCCGCTCTGAAATCAGTGCTCACTCAGAAAGGATCAGTCCAACCATGCACACCAGACACACACACCTTCCCCAGATGGTTGGGGGGGGGTGTGTGTGTGTGTGTGTGTGTGTGTGTGTGTGTGTGTGTGTGTGTGCGCACGTGCACATCCAGGGCTGTGGAGAGTAAGCTGGTAACCCTGAATTGAATCCGACGAGGTGATGGAGCTGTGTCACACTTGGGGAATGTTGCCCCACCCCTGTGGCCATGACATCACAGCTTCTGCCCGCTGCAGACCGTGCTGTGGAACTGTGGGTTGTGGGAGTCTGTGATGTCAGAAGAATCCGAATTGCAGCTTACCCAAAGAACGCTGGGGCAGTGCCCACCCTGCCCACCCTGCCAGATGCCGTTGGGCTTTGTTGAAGGCTTAGAGTGGGGGAGGGAAGTGCATGCGCTTCAGAATGTTGGGGATCTCTGCATGGGGGGCAGAGGAAAGAGGCCGGTCACAGAGGAGAGTGGCAGGTCAGGGCGTCACTGATAGAGACAGAGGAAGGTCTCTGGAGCATGAGGGCTGCGGGGATTGCAGGCTGGGAAAGCGTGCGAGGCTGTGAACCGCTGTCCAGTCGCTGGGGAGGCTGCTCACCCGCTGCAGGGAGGTCACTGATCCGGCCGCATCAGCCCCAGCATACACCTGCGTCCAGGGCATTCCCGCCCTGGGCAGGGGAGCAGGAGAGGCTTGATCCACCTGTTCTGTCGGCATCACCTTTAAGTGTTTGAGGGGATGTAACTCTTCAGGTTGGCCTGGGGTGGGGGCATGACATGGCAGTTTTGGTCTCCACTGAGTTGGAGAGATAGGACTGACCCCAGTAATCATGAGCCGGCCTTCATAGACCCACTGGTCTGTGCACAGTGTTGAATGAAGTCCTTCCTCATGGCGTGGAGGTGGCCTTGGGCTCCCGCCGCCTCCAGAAGGGCCTGCCACCCTGTCTGTTGTCCGAGGCCCGGCCTGGCGCCCTGTGTACTGCCACTGGCCGGCTGTGTGGTGGGGCATCATGCAATCAGAGTGGCTCAGGGGCCGTCCCTGAGGAACGTGGGGACAGGGATCTAGATGCCTCAGAGAGAGGGCCCTCACCCACCAAGTCTCAGCTTCTGGAGAAAGGGCACTGTGTGTCACTGACGTCGGGGGGAGCTCAGGTGTGTCCGGACCTTGGAGGCAGAGACCCCCAGGATTTGGGTAAACAAGGGAAGGGTCCAGGCCAGCGAGGGGGAAGTGGCCTGAGTGGAGATGCAGGGGGTGTCCGGAGCAAAGGATCGTGGGAGGTTTGTGAGGCAGTGTGGTTTTCCTCTAGCACGAGGGAGGCTCTGTGAACTTGTCTTCTCTTTTTAACTATTTCAGTATCACTTGGTTTCCTTTGCAGTTCTTTTGAGACAGTGAGGTGGTGCAGCAGATAGAGCTCTGGTCTTGGGGTCCAGAAGGCCCAAGTTCAAAGCTTGCCTCAGATACTTCTTGGCCGTGTGAGTCTGGACGAGCCGCTGAACCTCTCCCAGCCTCAGTTTCCTCATCTGAAAATGGGGATGATAACAGCACCTGAGGATCAAATCTGCAAGTCTAGAAGCGCTATCTAAATAAATATTGGGTCTTACTTTATGCATTTAAAAATACTGTTCTGAGAAGAGGTCCATAGATTTCCCTGGACGGCCATTCAACACACATAAAGTGAGCATGAGCCCTGCCCCATTACATTCCATAAACCATAGGAGGCTAGCCCCCCTCAAGGCTGCTGCACCCATTTCTCCCATCCACCTCCCGAGGCAGCCTGTCACTCCAGACCAGTCTCTGCTTCCCAGGAGGGAGCGACCCAGCGCCTCAGGTCGGAACTGGCCGTGAAGGGGATGGGGCTTCTGATTGATCTTAGGATACCCAGGCCCAGCAGCCAGGCTTAATCAGCCCCTGAAGAAGTTGACGTTCCCCACGCCGAGCCCCCCTGGCCTCTGGGGGAAGGCTTTCCCTTTATAAAGCAATTAAAGTTAAAATGGCATTAATTGGAACTGCCCGGCTTGTGTGCAGTCTCCTCTGCCCTTATTTGTCCAAAATATGATTCCCTTGCCACAAGCATTCCTGGCAGCATTCTTGGGCCCGAGCCCGACCGCATGGACCTCCTGGTAGTTTATGGGAACTCAAGGCCTTCTGTCACTTGTCTGCTTGAAGTTAGGGGCCCCTGCTCAGGCCCCACAGCTGGACGGTCTGTGGAGTAAAGAGGAGTGAGGAGGCAGAGCCCTTTCCCAATAGATGGGTGAACTGGTGGCCATCTCTGCTGGGGCCTGCCTGGATTCTCATCCAAGGACCTCCCACGGCTCCTGTCCTACAGTGCCGCGGGCACAGAAATGCCCTCGAGGGCCCAAGAACGTTAGGGAGCAGGCTGAGCACTGGCCAGGCCTGGTTCTGATCAAGAAAGTCCCTTCCTCTTTCCAAGACTCAGCTTCCCCCTGTGGGAAATGGGCACACGCTCCCTTCTGAGAAGTGGACAAAGGGTAGACGGAGCACGCCCAAGCATCCTGAGCCCGTTGATGTGAGTGATGAGGTCACGTGAGCCGCCGTGTCACTGCCAGCTGTGGAGGAGAGCGATCTGGCGTCCCATCCTGGCTGGGCGAGTCCTGCCCCCCCCTTCCCAGGGTCTCTACGGCAGTGAAGTCCCCGCTCCTGGTCCAGGTCCCTGCCCTGCTATGGATAATATTTCACACAGCAGGTAGTCGAAGGAGGGTTACCCCCATTTTATAGATGAGGAAACTGAGTCTCACACATGCCTGTCTTTCCTTTTTAAAGGTTTTTTGTTCCTTTCTCTTTTCTGCCTTCTGCATGGACTTTCTGCCAGGGACTCCTCCCTCCCTAGTGTCTCTCTAAGGAGTCACGCCAAAGGGATCCGCCCACCTCACTCCCGGGGATTGTTGGGAGGCTGCGGCCTTCCCTGGGGACGGCACACGCTGTCCCCTGCACTGCCCTGAGGCGCACACGTTGTTTTCCTCTGCAGGGAGGTGAGCAGTCCCCTCTGGACTCAGCAGGCTTCCCTCCTGACCGTCCGTCCCGGCCTTCTCTGGAACGGGCGCAGCTGTCTTTGATCGTGCTCGCGTGCCACACTTTCGTCAGCTGCCCCTTAGCAGCGGGCACCCAGGGTCTTCCCCGTTTTTGCCGCGATCAGAGTGGCAGCGATCAGCTTTGGGCAGATGGGGTTCCTCTTCTCTCTCTTGACCGCCTGGGGCGTGTGTCTACCTTACTGGCGCTGTGGTTGGACCAGGTTCATCCTGTTGATCATTTGCCTGGAAGCGTCTCTGCATCCCCCGGGCTCCCTTCACACAGTGCCTGGCACTTGGTCCAAGCTGACTTGCCTTGTCAGTCTGATTCAGAATCACGTGGGCAGTGACTCACCCGGAGCTTCACGTCCATCCGTGAGCTGGAGCCTGGTCTTCTGTCTCCTTGTCAGACGCCCTTTCTGTTTTGTCACTGTCTTTCCCAAGGTACATCACCAGTTCTTATCAGTGCCAGGGCTATGTGTCGTCCTCGACATAGGAGGGTGGGGAGGGGGCTGGCTGATGAGACCCTCATGTGTGATGTGCTGTCTTTGTAAAGGCGTTGGCCTTCCTGTACAGCCAGCCACAGAAGCCAGGCCCGTGGCGCTATTGACATGTGGCTCTCAGTAGGGGCCACTGATTATTCATAGGAGCTTGGGGACCCTGAGCGGTTTGGACGTGTTCAGTAGAAGGTCTCGAAAGCAGATTTCAGAGGTTGCCAGTGCTGGGCGCTGGGCACCCTTCCTGGAGTCAGCAGACCTTCCTAAGGGGAGGACGGGGAGGTTTCAGACAGCAGGGAAGGAAACGGCTTCGTTCTCAAAGCCTCCTCGAGACCACCACAGAGAAAAGAGACCCAGGCCTCCAAGTTCATGCACGATCCTTGGCCCAGTGAAGTCTAAGACCCAAGAATCAGTCACTTGAGAAGGGCAGGCCTTCCGCGTGGGAGCCCGGGGAGGGAGGGTTGTGCCATGGACGGCTTGTTGGGCTGTGTGGCGGTGGCAGCAGCACCTTAGCTGGACGCCGGGAGGCACAGCCTCTTCTCCCTGCGGCTCAGACCGGAGCAGGGCACAGTCAGTGACGAAGGCGTTTGCATTTTATTTCGCGGCTCCTGAGGAACAGAAGGCTTCAGGACCCCAAGGAGTTTCCGAGCCTGGGGCCGACAGGGCTGGAGAAATGTTTGGAGAGGTGGGTCCCCGGGTGGCCGCTCAGATGTCACGGCATCATCTCTCAGCTCAGCGGGGTCTGTAACATGGCCACTGTTTGCAGGCCTGAGCCTCTGTTTCCCTCTCTGTAAAATGAGAGGGCTGGCTAAGAGCGCAGTGTTGTCGGACAGGGCTGGCCGGCGGGGTGCATCCCAGGAGCGAGGAGAAGAGAGGTGGCAGCTTATGTACAGCCTCGAACTCGAGCTTCCCTGGGTCGTTCACAGCACTGAGTTATAGGGATGGCAACAGAAGGAAAGGTTCTGACCAGACTCCTTCTCTTCCCTCGGCTGTCAGCCCCCTGAATGGCCGCGACGCTCCCTTCACGGTCAGCTGTAGATGCAAGTTTTTTACAGCGAGGAAATCCGGGGGTCCAGGGGGGCTCTGATCCAGAGGTAGAGCTGCAACCTTGAAGGTTGCCCCCCTCGTTTCTGCACAGGAAGAGACTAAGGCCGCCCAGCGAGGTCAAGGGAGGTCCCATGGCAGAGCCAAAATTTGAATGTAGGTCCTCTACCTCCAAACACAGCGCGGCCGGCCCTGCCTTGTGCTCAGCTGTCCCTCAGGCTCCTTTTGGCCTGGTGAGCTGTCCCTGAGGAGAGGCGAGCTTTGCTGTCTCACTGGGCCGCTATCTAAGGGTAGCGCTCGGGTTCCTGCCGGGGTGAGTAGGGGACGTGCCCAGACATCTAGCCTTGGGCAGCCCTGCTCTCGTCCTCACTGGCTCCTTTGTTCTCCTCTTATCTCACAGGTTGGATCCTTATTGACCGGTGTGGGAAGCACTTTGGTACAATCCTAAATTACTTGCGGGATGGGGCCGTTCCGCTGCCCGAAAGCCGCCGGGAGGTCGAGGAGCTCCTGGCTGAGGCCAAGTACTACCTGGTCCAGGGCCTGGTGGACGAGTGCCTGGCGGCCTTGCAGGTGGGTGTCCAGCCTCCTCGCGGCTCAGCACCTGCCCCGGGTCATGCTGCCTCCGACCTGCCTCCCCCTTCGCTCATCCTGGCCTTGGGGGGGGGCCCTCATGGGACCCTGAAGCATCTCCCCCTCCTGGCACTGCCCCACTTGCCATCCAGGGCCTCTAAACTGGGCAGCCTTGGGTGACCATTCTCAGGAGTCACCTGCTTGGAGAAACCCCAGCGGTTTTCTTGCCTAATATCAGAGCACAATTCAGTCTCTTTCCCTGAGCCCATAGGCTCCCTCCAGATGGCTACCTTCAGTTCAATTCAGTAAACATTTGTTAAGCACCTGCTGTTTGCCAGGCACTGTGCTAAGTGCTGAGGATACAAAAAGAGGCAAAAGCCATCCCTTGCCTTCAGGGAGTTTGTGCCTGAGATGAGTGCCCCGTTCTTCAGGCTCGAGGAAAGGGTGTGAAGGCCCAGCTTCTACTCAGAGCCGTTAGCTTTGCCCTCACGGGGCACTTCTCCCTCGTCCATGATTTGAAGGGCCGTCCTATGGGAGAGGGAGGGTCAGCCTTGTTCTGCTTGGGTGGAAGCTGCCAGACCCGAGCCAGAATGGGGTGCCCGGGGAGCCGCCGAGCTCCCCCTTCCTGGAGGTCTTTAAGCAAAGGCTGCTGACCCCTTGTTGGGTGAGCGCTCATGGGGATTCTTACGTGGACCCTGAAAATCTGCCAGATCTCTGGCCTGTGAAGAGATTTATACTCAGCCCCCTCATTGGAGGAATAGTCGATAAAAGGAGCTTCCAGGAAGACAGAAGAGCTTGTTGGGGCCACGCTTTGGGATTTGGGTTGGAAGCGTCCCTGTGTTTCTTAGAATCTTCTCCTCCCTGCCCCCCAAGCCCTGCCTCTTCCCTCCAGGCCCCGCTTCAGGCAGGACCTAGGAACAACAGTGGGCATTTCAGTACCACGTGTGGTCACAGAGCAGGGCCGGGCCGTCGTTCCTGGCTGCACACTTCCAGGCACACTGTGCGGGAGCGTCTCTCTTAAAGGAGCCACCTGGCGTTACGGCTCACAAGCTCTTGCCATCAGGGTCCCCGAGAGAGAAGGGAGCAGGGAAAAGGCTGCTTCCGGGCAGACCCCCTAGACTGAGGGCCCGTTTTGTTCCAGCAGAACAAAGACTCCTACGAACCTTTCTGCAAGGTGCCCGTGATCACCTCCTCCAAAGAAGAGCAGAAGCTGATAGCCACGTCCAACAAGGTACGTGGGAGGCCACACCTGCTGGTGCTTCGGCGGGGGCGGGGGTACTCATGACCAGGCCTCCATCTAGGGCAAGGGAAAGGAAACAAGCATTGCTTAAGTGCCTGCTGGGGGCCAGGCACTGCGCCTTCTCCTCACAACAGCCCTGGGGGCTGGGTGCTATTATGACGATCCCCATTTGACAGTTGAGGAAACTGAGGCAGGCAAAGGTTAAGTGACTTGCCCAGGGTGACCTAGCTATAAATCATCCGAGACTGGATTTGAACTCAAGTCTCTGGACTCCGGGCCCTCCGCTCCTCATTTATCTCCTCTCCCAACTGTGACTCACATTAAAAAACCGTTCTTGCTTTTCCCTTCTCTCCTGTCCTCTGCAAGGTCCCCAGTGCTGGCAGTGGACCATTCTACCAAATAATTTTATTTTTTCTTTCTTTAAATACAGCCGGCAGTGAAGTTGCTTTACAACAGAAGTAACAACAAATATTCCTACACCAGGTAAGGCTAAAGTGGGTCGGGGAAGACACATTTATTTGCAGCAGGAAAACCTCAGAGACCCTCGAATGCAGACCCCTCCTTCTAAAGACGAGGAGCCTGTGGCCCAGAGAAAGGAGGTCATTCAGCTGAGGTCGTGCACCGGGTTAATAAAATCAGGGTCAGGACTGGAACTCGGGTCTTCTCTTGAGCCTCAGCAATGGTTTTGTCCCCTCCTTACCCATCCCCCAAAAGTCTGTACCCCACCAGGATCGTCACTGTTTGGGGGAACTTTTGTTACTGCGTCCGTCCTTCCTTCGGTTGAGAATGTGAGGTGGGGGGTGGATTAGATTATCAAACATGGCAGAGACTTTCCATTTAGCCTTCCAGTCATCAGGAGAGCATCTGTGTGTGTGTGTTCAGAGCTCCGTCCACACACTGACCAGACGCCTACTCTGTGCTGGGGCCTGGGGGTCCCCAGACAGCCCAGGCCCTGCCCTCAAGGGCTTCCATTCCTGAGGGGGTAGGAATACTGTGAGTGTACACAGAGAAGTCCATCGCAGGGACTTAGAGGAGACAGCACCAGTAACCGAAGCAGTCCCAGTGGCCCCGTGTACAAGATGGCGCCATCATTGATCCGATGCCCAGCAGCGTCGATTATGTCGGTCTCTGCAAGAATCATCCTCATCCATCCCCTCAGCCACATCCCCACTGCCACTCCCCTGGTTGGGGCCTCGTTTCCTCTCCCTCTTAGGCCACTAGGAGAGAAATCTGATGGATCTCCTCCCCTCGAGCCTCCCCTCCTCCAATCCATCAGGGTTGTTGAGGTGGTTAGCACAGATCCATCAAGTGCAGTCCATTGACTCCATTTGGTTTCCAAACAGGCTGCGGTTCTGCGGCTTGTTCCGCTGTGCCGGGCCCCCCTCCCCAGCCCATTCACACCATGCCAGTCTGTGGGCACAGTTCACCGCATCAGATGTTTCTTTTGCAGCAATTCTGATGACAACATGTTGAAAAACATCGAGCTGTTTGACAAGCTGTCTCTGCGTTTCAACGGGAGGGTCCTGTTCATCAAAGACGTCATTGGCGACGAGATCTGCTGCTGGTCCTTCTATGGGCAGGGCCGGAAGATCGCAGAAGTCTGCTGTACGTCCATCGTCTACGCCACAGAGAAGAAGCAGACCAAGGTGAGGGCCCCGTGGGGCCGCAGCCCACCCCACCCGGCGTCTCCTAGGAGCACAGGGTTGGGGCTGGAAGGGGCCCAGAGAGGGGCCGGGACCCAGGTCCTGTCTCTCTCCACTGTACCACTGCCTCTGTCTGAAGAGGACCCCCACAGAGTTGATTGTCTTCAGTCACCTCTGTTGTCCCAAAAAGGGAGCCAGGCTTGGTGTTTGGCCCCAGAGCCCGAACTCCCCTGAGCACTGTGGTCCAGTGGTCAGCCCAAGCTGGACTGAGAGAATGCTCTGTCCCTCAGATGAAGGGAAGCCTTCCACCAGGAGCCACAGGCCTGAGGGAGGAGAAAAGGGGAGAGAGAGTAGGGGAGAGAAAGGAGAAAGCAAAGAGAGAGAGAGCCCAGACTTACTCTCCTGGGCCCAGACGTAGGGCTTCGGCAGGGTTAGGGTGGGGAGGGGCAGCTGACTTACTGGGAGGCATCTTGGGGGTCAAAGTCTAGCCGGCCCCCCCACAACTGTTGGAACTGTGCGGCCCGAGGAGGGGGGGACCTAGGCTTCCTTCCCTGGAGACGGTGATTCTCCTGTGGAAGCACGTTAAACGGGAGAGAAGAAACCTGGGAGAACGGTGATGGTTGTCTTGGAACATGTGGAGGAGGGATTCAGTGGCTTCTGTTGGGCAGAATTAGGAGTCGGGGCCGGGGCACAAGGAGGCAGGCCTCTGCTCACGGTCAGGAAGGCTGTCCCAGCAGTCAGTGCTCTCCAGACGGGGGTACAATTGCGTACAATTAGAGGGACCGGAAAGCCGGCCGTGGACACGGCTTGATTTTCAGGAGCAACAGGACCCAGGTGGAAGCTAGAATCCTCTTTAAATGGATGGCAGTATGGATGGGGAAGGCACTGGCTTCTCTGTAAAATCATCTTTCCTGAGAAATTGGCTTTTCTCCCTTCCCTGTAATCCATCCCCAGCTGATGGTGCAGGAGATGGAGTGCTGGGCCTGGAGTCAGGAAGGCCTGAGTTCAACCTCAGTCACTTACTAGCTATGACCCTGAGCAAGCCACTTAACCTGTTTGCCTCAGTTTCCCCTCATCTGTAAAATGGAGATAATAGCACCTACCTTAAAGGGTTGTCATGAGAATCAGATGAGATATTTGTTTGAAAAAAAGCACATAGTGCAGTGCCTGGCACCTAGTCAGCACCTTATCAGGGTAGCGCTCAGCTGCCTCTGCCCATCCTCTGCCCCCCAGCAGGTCATGGCCGCTCACTCCTCTCCCTAGCTTTTTAGGACCATAGGCCCCTCCTTCAGCGATTCATCAAGTTCTTGTGTCTCAGGAATGGAAAAGCATTCTGAGGGCGATTCTCCGATCGTTGAATAACCTTTGAGAGCCTTGGAGTCTCACCAGCACCCCCCCCTTTGGGGCACGTGTGGCACCCCCACCTCACCCTCTCTGTTCCTTCGTTCGGGGGGTGAAGAACCAGATTAACAAGAGAAAGGAAAAGCTCAGAACCGAAGCCAGGTATCCTGTGTGACAGCTCAGAGAGGCCATTTGCCTTTCCCTGTGTTAGCCCAGCACGTGGGCCTCGAGGCTCACCCCGCTCTCCCGCCCCGGCTGCTCCCTTCATTCTTCCCCTGCCTGGCTGGGGAGCAGGGAGAGGTTGGCTTTGAAGCGGGCCTGGTTCGGCGGCCACCTGTCCCCCGCAGCAGACGGGTCCTGGTATCGGAAGGACGGCCCCCAGTCAATTCCCTTTCTCAGTGGGTGTGGGGCCTTTCCTTTGCTTCCAGAAAGCATTGCTTTTCTGCTCTTCGTTTGTAGAAAAGGAGATCGCGTTGGAATGATCATTAAAGTATTTGTTTCGTTTCCATTCTATCTGCACTCTGGGGCGCTAGGGGACAAATAACTGCCCACCCTTTAAACGGGGCATCGGTGGTCTGTACTGCGCTGGGATTCCCGTGTCGTCACCCGTTCCTCGGGTCCCTTCCCCACAGGCCCAGAGTGGACGATGACCCTGAAGGTCGCCATCCGCAGCCCTCGAGAGGGCTTCCCTACCCCAGAGTGCAGCCCCCAGCCCTGAGCCCCTCCTTGTAAATAAATGCCCCACACCGTCATGTTCTAGGCAGGTTCAGAAGGAATCCTAGAAGGTCAGAGATGAGAGGGACCTTGGAGGCCAGAGGAGGTGACGTGCTCTAAATGTTTGAGAAGTGTTAGCTGCTTCCTGTTTGGTCTCCACCACCTTGAGAAGTAGGCTCTGTCACTCTCACCGTGTTACAGATGAGGAAACTGAGGCTCAGAGAGCCTCACGCAGTCGGTTGTGGTGAGGGGACATGATTTGATGGTTTCGTTTCCTGCTGACTCTCCCTAGCCCCGCCAGACAAGGCCTCCCGTGGGCCATTTCTGACCGTGTCTGCCTCACTCCTCACCGGCAGCCCTCCACCTCTGCCGTCGGCGTGGCGCACCTTGACGTTGCTGTGATCCTGGTGCGCCGCCAGCCCTCTCGAGTTTCTCTGAACTCCTTGAGGGCACTTCTTACGTCCGCGCCCCTAGACCGGTCTCCTCACTTGGCTTTGTGGCTGAGGAGACCATAGCCCCGACGGGGGCTGGGCCACCCGGCTGAGCAGGTCCGATCGGATCTAAACTGAGTTTGGGGGGACGGGGGTCGAGAGCTGTGGATTTGAGGGACTAACCCCATTTTCTGGAACACAGGTGGAGTTCCCGGAGGCCCGCATTTATGAGGAAACCCTGAATATTTTGCTGTACGAGGCTCAGGATGGCCGAGGTCCGGACAATGCACTTTTGGAGGCTACGGGTGGCGCTGCTGGCCGCTCCCACCACCTGGATGAGGATGAAGAGCGCGAGAGGATCGAGCGTGTGCGTTGGATCCATATCAAGCGCCCCGATGACCGGGCCCACCTCCACCAGTGAGCAGTCCAGCCACCCCGCTGTGCTGCTCTCAGAGACTGCCCCCAGGCGCCCAGGCAATGTTGAGAGCCTTTCAGGTCTAGAAACGGTATTTTGTAACAAATCAGATCATTCTTTTGGTATTTCTTGGCAAGATGAATTGGTTCAGTCCCAGGGTCCCTCTTCACCCTGGGATGGCTCATGCTGCGTCTGTCGTTTTTCCTCTTTCCCTGAACGTGAATGAGTCTTTGGGAAAAGCATTGCCCGGGCCTCGGAATGAACAGTGAGGACTTTGATTTTCAGTATTTATTTTTGGTGGGGATCCTGCGGGGTCAGCTCCGAGCTCTTTGAAGATCACCCTGACTCGGGGGGCTCCCTCCTGTGGGTCAGCTGCCCGGGTCCCAGACGTCTGCGGTCCCCGAGGCCGCCCTGAGCCGGTCTCTGCCCATCCCAGGGGGAAGCGTGGGGCTGTGGGCTTGTCCCACAGCTGTGCCCCCTCCCAAGGAAGAAGGCCCCAGGGGCCACGTGCAGTATTTCCATGGCCAAACGGCCAAAAAAACCCAAACCTTCTCAAATGGGAATTTCTTTCTCTTAGAACAATCATGTGTCTCTTGTGACCAAGGAAATAACCCCCTCAGTGTAAGGACGTAGCAGCAGAGTCTGGTCCACAAAGGGGCCCCTCAGCCGGGAGCTCCGTTTCACAGGCCCCCTAGGCCCTCGACCCCCAAGTGTCCAGTTAAGAATGTGGTTTGGGGGATGCCAGAGGCAGGGGGTCAGCTTTGCGTGGCCAGTGGGTCCGGTCCCCATGTCACAGGCAGGACAGCAGCGGGCCCCATTGTCCAGCCATGTTTTCCACTACAATACTGACAGTGACTGGGGGGACGTAGGACATAGCCTAGGGATTGGGGCCAGACCTGGGTCTTCCTTGGTCTCAGGAGCTCCTGGGGCGGTCCCTCCACCAGTGCAGGTCAGCGCTTCTCAGCCATTGACTGTTGTAGGGAGTTGCCTCCATCACCTGGCGGTTAGTCAGACATACTGTAGGTGCCAGCGTCAGGACTCAAACCCAAGTCTTCCTGGCTCCGAGGCAGGCTTTCTATTCAGCAGCTCCTTGGCCTCTGCCCCCTGCGCCTGCCCGGGTGCCTCCTAAGAGGCAGGAATGGCCATCTCATAGACTGTGGGGTGGGTCCTTTAGTCAGACTTCTTGAGAAGATGGTTTCTTCAGCCCCTTCCCTGTGCAGAGGGGCAGCCCCTGCCCTGCCTTCTCCCCCCCCACTCCCCCACCCTGGGCAGAGGCTTCAAGAGCGGAGCTCAGACTGTCCTAGGAGAATGGCCTCACTTTTGTAGCATTTTCTTTACCACAGCCCGCCAGGGAAAGAATGTGACTATCAGCAGCCCCATTTTACTGATGAAGAAACTGAGGCTCAGAGCCATTTGTGTCCCTCCTACCTTTATCCAGCTAGTCCATATCAGAGTTGGGCCTTGAACCCAGGTCTTCTGCCTTTCCTTACTGTAAATAAGAGAATGTTCCCAGCAGGGTTCTAGGCCTTACCTCTGGGTCTCCACCTGGCTCGGGCCCCAGCTTTGGGTCATCACAAGTGGTTCTGGCTGCGTTCATCCAGCAGACTGACGAGATGGACAAATACCTTCGAAGTGTCTCCCTCTGCCTGTTTGTTTTTGCCACTTTCAGAGAATGGAAAAAGGACGTGTTTGTGTGACTGTGACAGAGCGAGTGGTGTTGCTCGGGGGCCCCAGGCCGTGGGGGTGAGGGGGTGCGCGGCAGGCAGGGCTCTTTGCCGCCAGGGAATGGACAGGTGGCTCAGACTCCGCCGGGGGAGCGTCAGGCGTGTGACGACAAAGAGGTGACGGACGCGACTGAGAGAATCAGAGGGGTGTTTGAGTTTTATACCAAAGCATTAGTCGCAGCAAGTTTGATTGTTACCAGACAAGGTATTTCTGTGAGTCTGTTTATGTACTGACGTAAGCCACATGCTCTCAGAGGCACTTGGCCTGGAAGCGGTCAGAAGGGAGCAGGTTTTTAAAACGCTGTTACTTCATCTCCTGTTCACCATCCTGCAGCCTGTGGAGATCAGAAAATCACACCCAGACCACGTCTGACTATTCCAATCACGTATTCATCAGCCCAAGGCTAGCACTGGTGTCTTTGTACAAAATGTTCCTGACTCAGTTTACCAAGTCAGGCTTCCCCCAAAAATGACTTTCAAAAGAACTTTGTGTTAGTTGGGATTTAAGCTTCCCACCTGAATCATGCGCTGGGACCTCTGGGGAGATCGAGACAAGCTCCCTGCCCGTCTGCTGGGCAGGCTTTGTGAATCGGGTCACATCGTACAGTGATAACGCATCATGAATATAGGCAGGCCATTAAGGGGCCCATTGTATTGGAGAAGTCACTGTATAATTACTCTTTGAAAGTAGATTTTTCTTAATCTAGAATTTATTGTTCACATAATAAAACCTGAACTTTGTTAGTACTTCCATGGTCAAGACGAAGTTTCCTTCTGTCTCAGTCCCCCACACATACACCCACAAGAGTGGCTCAGCTTAGGGGAAGACCGGATGGTCCCACGTGGCCAGTGACGGTGCCACTGACCACAGTGACACACAGCCCAAGCCTGTGTCTCCCCACGTCCTGCAGGAAGGGGGACAAGGCCCCAAGCTGAGGAAGCACCGAGAGAAAAACCGGTTGGTGTCTTAGAACTGTAGTTCGTCCAGTGCTGCTGGAACCACACGCTTGTGGCAAAAAGACAAATCACAGTTCTGTCCAAACCCTCAGCCCCGTCTGTCCTCAGCAAGCCCACCCTTCGGCTGCCAGCCGCATCCCTCAGGCCAAGGTCCTGTGTCTGTTCTTCGAGCAGGGTGCACTTAGGGAGCCCAGAAGGCTAGCTTAGGGCCAGCCACAAAGGAAGCGGGGAAGGAGGCTTCTGGAGCTCCTGAGCTCATCCCGATTCCTGACCCTTTCAGGATCAAACTCTTTCCTCCTCTGTGAACTGAGCATGCGAGAGTTGGGCTCGCCCGCCATCCCGGGCCAAGAGTTCGCCGTTAGCTCTTTTCTCACGTATCCAAAGGGAAAGGCTCTTTTGCTTCCCAGCTCTGATGTATTTTTCAATTATCCTCTGAAATTAAACTTAGATTTATGTTCCTGTTCCATAAAGTGATGAGTGATGCCATTAATCCAACAAAATTCAAGGAACATAATTTATTAAGTGCTGTGTATCGATGCTGACTGATCCTACCCCAAGCAGAAGGACAAGAATACAAGTTCTAGATTCGGCCCCAACCCCAAGCAGGACAAGAAGCTGGGTTCTAGATTTGGCCCCCACCCTAAACAGGAGGACAAGAATCCAGATTCTAGATTTGGCCATTATTTACAGCCATTTTTCTAGTGACACTTGAGAGGTTAGAAGTTAATGTCGATTGCTCAAGAGAGGTCAAAGATCAGCCCAATGCTTAGTCAAAAATAGTCCATTTTATTGCACAGTTACAAAAAGGAGGTTTAGCACAGCTTCCAAAGAGGTGGGAGACGCAGAGTTACTGCTGCTCTCATCACACTGACTGCTCTTTCCATGATCACGACATTCAATCACCCGTTACACTCCACGCCGAGCCTGCCAGGAGAGCGGACTTTCCGAGCCACACGTGAGCACGAGGGTCACTGTGCCGAAGCCTTAGCTCTTTGTCAAGTCTTTCTAACCTGTGTTTCTATGTCCTTCAAGGAATCTGGCAGATCCTGAAACCCTGAACGTTCATGGACCACGTGTGGCCCGTGGCCCATCGTGGCCCATGACTGTGAAGGGGGCAGTGGGCGTGATTCAGCTTCTGTAGAGTTGCAGTAGGGGAATCCTTTCCTGTTGAGTGTACACACTTCTAACTAGAGGTTCACCAAAAATATCACTTTAGCACATTCAGATGTCTTGTACTAACTGTGCTGCCCCTTCAAGCTATGCACAAAATGCTTGTGTTTTGTTTTGGTTTTTTAGAAATACTCAGTGTTTATAATTTACAAGCATTTGTCTATACATATATATATGCAAAATAAAATGATATAAAGGACTTCTACATACAGCTGTCTGACCCCTGTTTTCTAGGCATTCTCAGGCCTGTTTGAGCCAGGATTCCAGGCCTACTTTCAAGGCATTGGGGATGGCAGAGAGATGTCATTATTCTGTTTCAATGCAATGCTGATTGGGAGTCAGTACCGCCCTGCTGAAAGAGCAAAAGGCGCCAGCGTCTGCCATGTTGTCATGTCTTCAGCAGATTTTTCACAACCTAGAATGGGGGAAAATGCCTTGTAGCTCTGCCTTCAGGCTGAGAGCAGTCTGTGAGAGCTGGGATTATGGAAATAGCCTTCAGAGGGACACACATAGGGACTTAAGCCATTCCTTAGATGTTCTAAGCCACATTTATTTGAAGTCTGAAACTCAATTTTCGCAGCTCTGTCAAACTCAGCCACCTCATTCCTATCCCAGTCTGCCTAGGAAACGTTTGCAGTCTCATCTTCATTCGTCCCAGTTGGGTGGATGGCCGCTCCCTTGGGGAACAAAAGAGGGTGATACCTCTTTGGATGGTGTCACCAAGGAAGCAGCAGGAAGAGGGGTGGAAGGCAGTTTTCAGGTCCTCCAAAGGTGAAAGCCAGGCAAGTATTAGGTCCGGGAAGAACATTCAGGAAGCTTGGTGCTTTGTGGGTTCAAACAAAGCCTCACATCTGAAAAGACTAGCTAGAGTGGATGGGGTCTACCTCTAATATGACACGACCATATAAACGTAACTGTTGCCCGTTAAAATAAGAGATGAAAAGTTGAAAACGCAGAACTCCTCAATCACGCCCACATTCTTATGCATGAAGTTGGACCTCATTTGTTGAACTGGAGCCTTCACACTCATTTCCCCCTTTGAGAGCCAAGATGGTGATCGTTGCACATTGCCCATATCAGGATTTCATCTGGACTGACACCTATGGGAGAAATGAGTCTTAGTTTCAAGAGTGGGGGAGGGAAACATTCACACCATTCCCCCCTGCCCCCAGCAGAAGGAGAAGATGGCTAATGACCCTAGTGGGTTCAGCTTGGTGCACCAAGCCGTCATCCCCACTAACCTACCTCAGAGCACCTGTGATTGTCTTCCCAGGTCTGTGTGGCTCTCATGTCTCTGCCATGTTCTCTGGTCACTAAATGGTGCTCATCTATCTAACAGCTCTCTAGGGACTTTTTCACAACCCTCGGAAGGTGTAGGAAGTGCAAGCATTTTTTGTTTTTGTTTTTGAGAGGTCAAAGGATTCGCCCAAAGTCACATGTCAAGTAAATATCAAAGCCAAGACTGGAAGGCAGATTCCTAGAGCCTCAGACCAGGGTTCCTTCCACCCCCATGTGCTTCCTGTGACATAGGCATGGTTGCTTCCTGCTCCTCCCTTCCTTTCGTCCACAAAACACACAGTAGGCACTGCCCACGATTCTTGACTTAACCTAGGCCGAGATGCTGTGAGAACCTGCTGCCATTGCCGACGCCTCTCCTCCCCCCAGATACTGATGCCACCTAATCGTATAGCCGTCCATCTTTTCAAACCAGCCACTCTATCTCCTCTCACCAGCCTTGGGAGGGAGACAGGGCGGGTGTCCCATCAATGAGGAAGCAGATGCTCAGATACAAGTGACCAGCCCAGGGTCACAGCTGGTGAATAGCAGGTTCAGACCAAGAGCCCAGACAACTCGGAACGGCCGGATGCTTATTCCTGGGCTGCCTCCATGCTCCTGTTCACCTTCCCCAGTGCCATCACTCACCACTGTTAACTGTCCGTCTTTGTCTTTATAGATCTGCTCTTCCTGTCCGGTATTGAAAATTATGGTGCCTTCTTTTCCCGAACTGATGTAAAATTGTAAACTGCAAACAAAGGCGTCTGTTACTTCCGTGTCGGCCATCCACTGCTTTGCTGCTTCTGCCCGCCCCCCCAAAAAAACCGTGTATGTGTGTATGTGTGTATGTGTATATACATATATATGTGTGTATACATACGTATGTGTGTATGGGGGTGTGTATATATGTATGTGTATGTATATATATATGCATTGTGTATTTACATGTGTGTGTGTATGTGTATATGTCTAATATATATATACACACAATCTATAAGGTTTTGGTTGTTTAAAACATAATCCAAAGGCAGTTTTAGTTGCACAAAGCTTTTTTTAAGAGAGCAATAAAAAATTGAATTATCAAAGATAATTTATCAAAAATAAAAATGTGTCAAAGAAAATTATCAAAGATAATTCAATAAAAATTCACTAATTATGTAAACACAGAGATAAGGCGTCCAGTTACAGTTCAAATGGGATTCATCAAGGAGCATAGCTGGTCTCTGCTGCTTTAATATGGTGCCTGGGCCATGATGATGCGGCCATTGACCGTATGTGATCATACATGATGATCCTAATCAGATGTATAAAAGGGGAGACGGAAAGCTAGCAAGCCTGAAGAGGTACCCAGATTTTCTTGGCCCCTATGCCCTGTGCATGTGCAGTTGGAAAAATTAAGGCAAAGGGAACCGGAAACCTAAGGTGAAGATTAGAACCGGGACATAAGAAGGGATCAGGCTGGGTAGGGGGACCCTCCTTTTCAAGGCTGTCCTTTCACAAAAGATCTTTCTGAAATCTTGACTCATCCCAGGAATTCTTTTTTGGTCTACGTCATTCAAGCGACAACTTTTTACTGTAGAGTATCTAGGGAAATTTAAATGAAGGCTTTGTATAGAGGGAGCGCTAAATCAAGGTATGATGAAGTATGCAGTTATCTCCTACTTAAGCCCAAGATGATGATTTAAAAAAAAACCATTCTACCAGACAATACAAGCTTTCCGTACTATGGAAACTTTAGCTTGAATATCTTTTAGTAAGGACGTTCACAGGGTGAGCTCAGGACTGATAGAAAGAACGCCATGAGTTCTTTCACGGTTCTCATCCTTTTATTGAGGATCCACCTTTTTGTATTCCCCGACCCCCACCCCACCAAAGCTATGGGGCCCTAGCAGGAGAGGGGTGACCGATCTCCGCCGTGTTCCCATCCACATAGGCCGGGAGAACCTCCAGGAGTAGCGTGAGGCAGCAGTAGCAGCTCTGAAGACCTCCCCATGGTAGTTCTGAAGTGCCCTTGGCTGACCCCACCAGTGCCCTTGAAGTAGTTGCCTGATCAGGCCGATGTTTTGAGGGGCTTCCTTTCATAGGGAAGGGACAATGGGCAGCCTACCTTCCTCGGACCACCTGGACCAGGTCCTCTTTCTTCACCACCATGAAGAGTTTAGTCACTGTTTCAAAGACGTGTTCACACAGTAAAATTATATCACCCTAAAATGAAGAATGAGGGGGACATCTCAACATTATTTTTGTCTGACAGAAGAGCCCTGCAGAGCATTCTGAAAAAATCTTCCACAGAAACCTCAGAGGTGGAAGGGACCTGAAAAGGGCCAGCCCACACCTATCAATTCCACCCCCACGCCCAGCGTTCCTCATAATGATCATTAGGGCTTTAGTTTGCAAAGCATTTTACAAATAATCTCATTTGAGCCTTTCAACAAGGCCAGGAGGTAGGTGCTACTATCCTCATTTTACAGACAGGGAAACCAAGGCAGAGGTTAAGAGACTTGCCCAGGGTCACACAGCTAATAAGTGTCTGAGGCTAGATTTGAGCTCCATTCTTCCTGGCTCCAGGTCTGCTGTTCTATCCACTGGGCCTCCTCCTGATACATAAGGCCATACCGCATTCTCTCCTCTCTCTGTGAAAATCTCTAGTGGTAGATTAGTGTTTGCACCAAACAGTAACAGATCACAAAAGCATCATACAAAGTATTCTTTAAAATTTTTAAATATTAAATTTTTCTCTGAGATTTCTAATGTTATTTTTTTCCAACTCAATCTTCTCATTAGATTATAAGCTCACTGAGGGCAAGGACTGTCTTTCTTTTTCTTTTTTGGCTCCCCCAGTGTGTGGACAGCAAAGTGGTGCAGTGGATAGAGTACCAGGCCTGGAGTCAGGAAGACCTGAGTTCAAAGCCAGCCTCAGACACTTAACTAGCTGTGTGACCCTGGGCAAGTCACTTCACCCTGTTTGCCTCAATTTCCACATCTACAAAATGATCTGGAGAAGGAAATGGGAAACCATTTCAATATCTTTGCAAAGAAAACCCCAAACAGGGTCACAGAGGGTCAGACACAGCTGAACAACAAAATCCCCAGTGCTTAGCATGGTGCCTGGCATATAGTAATCCCTTAATAAATGTTTACTGAATTGGATTCCAGCAAAAAGCAAGAAAATTCGTTTCAGCAGATGGAAAAGCCATTTAGTATTCTGTCCACCTTGGTGGGTTTTTTTTGTCCCCACTCATAATTAATAGAATTAAGAAATAATTTGTTCTTTATCAGTCGTTTCTTGATAGAGCCTTCTTCCTTCCCCGCCGCCCCCATCCTGGAGTGGAACCCTCCTCCTGGGTCAGGGGTGGGGAACCTGCAGCCTTATGGCTAAGACCTTGGGTGGAAAGGTGTGGAAAGTGTCTGTCTGCATTTGGATAAGAAGGTAATTAAGCTTCCCTTACATCTTCTATCCTTTTTTCTGCAGATTTACCCATTGGAACTACAGAATGCAGTCCTAAGACCAAAAAAGAGTTGTTGTTTTTTAAGTATCCCTAGCTCAGTAGAAATTATGGGCAGGTTCATACCTTCTGTTTGGTGTCCTCTGGTGACACGTGAATGACAAAGAGTCCATCGCTCAGATTGCTGGTGGAAACACCTTTAGACAAACCCCAAAGTTAAAATCCCCCCACTGCTAACAGTAGCTCCCACACAGATGATTAGCTCATGACAGGCCACAGAATGCTTTGGTCACAACCACCCTGGGAGGTAGATAGAGTAAGTGGCATATACACAGCAAACCCTTAAGAAATGCTCGTTAACTTGTGGCTGGGCCCAGACTCAACCCCCGGACCTTCTCATCCCAAGTCCAGTGGGCTTTTTACTACACCATTGGGAATGGCTGAAACCATGTCCCAAGGTAACACCACTGCCTCCAAAAGACTG